GGTGAGCTCCTTGAGTAGCATAGGGTGCCTTACTCCCAGAGTTCTTGCCTCCAATTCTGCTTTCACCTTGCCTTTTTCATTTCTTCTTATTGCCTTTTCATATCCTTCATTTATTTTTAATCTGCCTTTTCAACCTCGTATTTTTAATTTTTCCTTCCTTTGATTATATTTCTCTTAACATTTCTGTACTTTGATACTCTTTTATCTTCTTACATATTTTTTACTATACTCTATTTCTCTTCTTCCCCCATTCTGAGTGTTATTTTGTTTGTTTGCTTCATAAAAGAGTTGTTGAAAGAAAACCCACATAGTATCATGGAAGATTAGAAGCTATGCCTTCACCTGGCTGATTGAACCCCAAGCAAGACAGACCTCAAGAGAAAAAGCAAGACATGTCATAAATAACCCTCCAAAGGGAAAGTCAAGAAGAAGGTAATAAGAACAATTCCTGAAAAAGTAAAAAGTTGTCTACAGTGGGTATCCAATACATGTAAGCTCTGACTTCTCAGTAGAAACCATGCCGGTAAGAAGGCAATGAACTCACGTCTATTAAACTCCAAAGCAAAGGAAAACAATGGTCAACCAAGAAACATATACTCAACAAATTTGTCTCTTAAATATTGCAGCAAGAACACTCGAATTTCCAGATACTCTGAAAATAAGAAAATTTTAAAATTTTAATCAACTTTACAAGATATTCTAAAGGAAGTTTTTTGAATACAAAGCAGCAACAGTAGACAACAGCATGAGATTAACATGCATGACCAACCACTCCAAAGCCAGCTCAGTTATAGTAGTATCCAAAGAAAAATAAACCCAACCTAATGCCTGAAAATAGAGACCATAGTTAGTAATTTGTAAACAAAGATAATTTAAAGTAAATACGGTTAGCAAGATTGTAGTTATAGAACTTCCAAATGAAATGGAAATCAAATAGATTTCAAGAGAAAACAGATTTCTTTTAAGATTGGTTAAAATTAATTCACAGCAGAGTAGCAAGAAAAAAAACAAACTTTATCAGGAAATCAAAAACCAAAACATCATAAAGGTTAAGTAAACAGAAAGAATGGGAATAAAAAAATGACAAGAAACTCCAGAATCAAAATTGCTTCCATGTGAAACCCTCCCTGTTTCGCCACTCACACCACTGGTCCTGTAGGGCTCATCCGCCCTGGATTCCCTGGATTTTCAGTTCCTATCTGTACCAGTGTACATCCTCTGGTCTAGCCAGACTTGCAAGGTCGAATGGCTAGGAAAGAGGGAACCGATTACAAGGAACTATATGTGACCTCCTCCCTGGGGGACAGACAACCGAAAAGTGGGTGAAGGGAGACGTCGGACAGGGCAAGATATGACAAAATACCAATTTATAAACTATCAAGGGCTCATGAGGGAGGGGGAAGCGAGGAGGGAGGGGGAAAATGAGGACCTAATGTCAGGGGTTTAAGTGGAGAGAAAATGTTTTGAGAATGATGTACAAATGCGCTTTACACAATTGATGTGTGTATGGATTGCGATAACAGTTGTATGAGCCCCTAATAAAATGTTTAAAAAAAAAAAAGAAAAGAAAAGAAGATAGCAACAAAATCAGTACTTCAGTGTCTCCAACACTTAAGGTGTGAGTAATAAAATTAGCCTACAGTCACTAGATGAAAATGAATAAAGATTAGAGCATAAATAACTGAAACAGAACAACAATAAAATCAACTGATGTAGTACTCTGTTTTTTTTAAAAGATTAATAAAACTATCAAATCATACAAGGGAAAAGGAAAAGATGAAAATGATATTCATGAGGAAATAAATAGGTAACATTCTATTCACTGCCAACAAACATATAAAGATATAGGCACAACCCTTAGCCATTTAAAACAAATAAACCAACAAATAAAAGACAAAACAATAAAGCAAGAGCAACTGCTATAAAGTTGATCCAAATTCATAAAGACTCTGTTGGACAGATTAGAACTACTCCTGAAGGTTTCCAAAACAGTAAATCGATAGGGGAGCAGATCGGATAAGACAGTCACATCATTCTTACATGGAAATGCTGGTGGATTTGAACCAATAACTTTGTAATGAACAGCTCAAAGCTTAGTTCATTATGCTAAGAACATGATACAATATTTAATAACAATGACATATTTGTAAAACACCTCAAAACATGGATGATCCTGCAGGAGATTACTCTGAGTGATTTTAGTCAATCACAAAAGGATATTGTATGAGAACACGCTTGTGAAAAGACAATAAAAGGTTTTCCAATTAAATGACACCTTCTTTTAAGAGGTGAGAGGGAAAAGGCAGTTAAGTTAGTGAATAGTTGGTAACTCACTGCCAGGAAGTTGATTTTGACTCAGAGCAAACCCATAGCGGGTTTATGAAACAGTGAAGTTCATGAGACCAGACAGCCTCATCTGTCCCCTGCAGAGTAGCTAATGGGTTTGGATTACACTGTGCAATAAGTCAGAGGTCAACTAAAAATGATGGAGACAGGAAAGCACACTAGAAGAACTGCAAATGTGAAATATACCAAATATATTTTATATACATCATCCAGCAGCAATGGTGCACAGATAGACACAGGCAAAATGGTGTGAGAAGGAGAGTGGAAGTAAATGCACAAATACACACACATATTTGACAGGATAATTGTGCATTAGAATTTACCTGTGCTATAAATATAACCATGAATATTGTGGAGCATATATGGGAAAAAGTTATTAGAAAAAACTTCTTAGAGAGATCCAAACGCCTTAGAGGAGTGAGTCACAGCACCTCGGGCTCAGGATCATAGTCCCAGGGGCCATTAAGTTTGGTGAAACTTAACATAATCCACCAAGACAATGTTCCACATCCTACTTGACTGAGTAGCAACTGGGATCTTAAAAGCTAATGAATAGCCATCTAAAGTGCCGCTATTTGAAGAAGCAATGCAGGAATCAGTTCACAGTTCAAAGGAACACTTCCATGCCAGTCTCCATCACCCTGAGAAGAGAATTAGATGGTGTCTGTTACTATGGCTAACTACTCTGAAAGTGATCACATTAACAGGTCCTGGATAGAGTCGGAAAAAAATGTGGAACAAGACCTAAAACCCTAAGACCAAGTTGACTTGTTGGCAAAGACTGGTGGCATCTGTGAAATTATTATTCCCTTGTCCCCCTTCAAATTTGGCATTGAAACTATACCCATGGTTCAATTTTCAACCAAACATTGTAAGGGGAGGATAATACTACAAGTAAGATGTCCACATCTTAGCATAACCAATCATTTGGTATCAAAAGGGTGGTACCCACACTCAGACAAAGTTCAGGATGGTTAGAAATGAAGTTGGAATGGAAGCAGAAAACATAGAATGGAAGACTGACTAGTGACATTACATTGTGGATATTACAATGAATGATGAAATAAAATGTGTATGAATTGTTGAATGGAAAAGTTATTTGCTTTATAAAGCTTCTTCCAATTCACAATAAAATGGTTTTTGTTGTTGTTTTAATACTTGAACTTTTAAAAAAAATCAACCTTAAAATAAGGAAACTGTTCTCCATTAAGATTCTGCCATGCTGCAAATGATTTGAACTTAGGTACAGACTAAAAGGTTGATATTTTAAACCTACGCAGAGATGCCAAATAAAAACGTGTGATAACTTTTCACAAATATTAAGATAAAAAAATCCTATGGACCTCAGTTTTTCTTTGTAATGCATGAATTCTTCAAGAACAAATATGACAGCATTTTACAAATGTTTTTTCATGAATATAAAAGATTAATTGATTTCTCTATTGTGTGTTAGGCTGTGGACTTTGGTTTTCTGAGGGTGTAGAGGGATACTTAAAATACATTTTCCTATGTTATGATCAATTATGACCTACAAAATTGATTTTAATAAATAACATTATTGATGTCACCTCCTGACGCTCAACATTGACAAATAATTTTAATATACTTTTAAAAATTAAGATCCACATCATTTGATAAATACTGTATCTTGCACCATAATTTCCTAATTTACTTACACATTAGCAAAATGTTGTTCATTTTTCAGTCCCAAATTCTTCATTATTAAAAATTGGCTTTAATCAGTAGAATGAAATATGCATTCAGGCTACTGGACATACTGTCATAAAATCCTAGGCTGAGATTTTCCAGGTGAAAGATTACATGTACTTTTGATAAATAATTAGGTCTAAATTTTCCAAAAATTTATATATTTAAGTGGCTATTTTTTGCAAACATGCTAATACTTCATATCATCAAAATAATTACCTGCTGTGCATGTGATTAATGGATTAAATAACAATGTTTTCACCTGAAAATCAATGATTTCTAATAAAGCAGAACATTATATCACATTAGGATAAATATTTGTGCTTATTTTACTTTACTATATACTTTTTTGTTTTCTTTACTGAATCATAGAAATTCTTTATATATTGATGTTATTAACCCTTTCTTACTATTTATCTCAGAATCCTACTTGTGGGGGAGGTAATTCAATTTATTATTTAAAAATATTTTTAACATACACATCAAATAACATTCAATTAAATAATTTAATCATATTAAGAAGAGTTTTGCAATCATCATCACAACCATTTTCAGATTATTTTCTTTTAATAACATTTTCTCTTCAATATTTTTAAATATATTTTGTTACAATGGAAAATAAAAGTTTGTTACTTGAAGTATTTCATTAAAAAAAAAATGGTGGGAGGGATGTCTTTTTAAAAAGACCTGAAAATGCCCATATTATAAATTTTGACCAGTATCTGAAAACAAGAAAAAAGAAACTTAACAATGAAATTTTCTGGCTGCAGGATATTTTATATCTTACAGAGCATTGGTAAATAATTGCTTGTTCTTTAATGAACGATTGGGAAAACATGATTAAATGGCTGTGAGATCAGCCACATTGTTCTATACATTAAGTAATTAGAGCTGTGTGTATTAGCTTCATGAAAAATAAAAAGTCAACATGCATATTTCACCTTGACTTATGAATTTAGGCACACTTTATTTCTTGGGGGGAATGGAATTTTTTTGATTAAGTCAATAAAGGCTTGTTTGACTTGCTTATTCCTCAGGGTATATATAAAAGGACTCAGCATTGGTGATATGGATGCAATAAGCAACGAGACACTTTTATTAATCTCCACATCTTCTTTTCCAGAAGTTTTGATATAGATGAAGATGCAGCTTCCATAGGAGATGGAAACCACAATCATGTGGGAAGAACAGGTGGAAAAGGCCTTTTTTCTTTGTTTAGCAGAAGGGAATTTTAGGATTGTCTTCATGATAGAGATGTAGGAAAGAACGACACATACAAGAGTGGTGATGAAGATCAGTCCCGCACAGGCTGTAACCATCCGCGCAGCTAACCATGTGTCTGAGCATGAGATTTCCAGAAGAGGTAGTTCATCACAGGCAAAATGATTAATGGCATTAGAGTCACAGAACTCCAAGCTCACAATCAAGCAAAATAGGGGGAGGATAATAAAAACGGCTATCACCCAACAGCAGATAACCATTGTTCTGCATACTCTGATGCTCATGATGGTCATATAATGCAGGGGTTTGCAGATGGCCACATACCGATCATACGACATAATGGCCAAAAGAAAAAACTCGGATGCCGTAAAGAAATCTATAAAAAATAATTGAACGAAACATGCAGTATAGGTAATTGTTCTGTCTCCAGTTGATATACTGTACATGAATCTTGGGATACTGGCAGTTGTAAGAAGAATTTCGAGAAAAGAGAAATTCTGGAGGAAAAAATACATTGGTGTTTTAAGGTGGGCATCTGCCCAAGTGAGGATAATGATGGTCAGATTTCCAGATATACACAGCATGTAGGTGATAAGGAGAAAAATCAAAATCAAAACCTGCAGATATGGGTCTTCTGTGAGTCCCAGAAGAATGAATGTGGTTATCGTTGTGTGGTTCCTCATTATTGAACTTCACGCGTACGCCAAACCTATGTGTAAGTATTAGAGGGAATAGAACTGCAGAATTCAGTGACAAAAGGAATTAATGATGAAACTTCACATTCAAACTAAAACACATGCATTTTATTTGTTCACCCACGTTATTCTTTTTTCTATCTTCTTTTGATCTGAGGTCCTTCAGTAAGTGATAATGAATGGATAAATGAATATTTTAAGATTATTTTTTAATTTAAATAATGCTTAACCTATCTTTATAACTATACTGTAATGACATACTAGTGAACTTAACATTTCAAATTCTACCTGGGCCATGCTCATTTTGATTTTAAACAATCAGATTTATAATTTCACATATCACCAGTTTCAAGACCAATATATTAAATCTCTTCCTTGGATTATACTTCTTGTGCATTTGCTGTCCACTTTTATTATATTATGAGGCAATTGGGGGTATAATGAATTCACTGTGAAAAAATATGAAATATACACTTTTGGTCTCTTCACTGGTAATGGTGTGCCCCATCTCTCCTTTTGTCCAAGTTCTTACTCTTTGTGACTAGGTATGCACTTTGCATTCATTTCTATATCTGTTGCTGTTTTCTTTCTACTTCAGAAATGTTTTAAAAGTGCCCAAATTTGCACATACATATGATTTATTTCAATGTATAATCTTAATAACAGAAAACATATAATTCTCTTGCCATGCTTCAGGCACTGTTTAAAATACAGTGCATAAGTTATTGATATAATCTTGTGAGGTAGGGAGTGACATAATCTCTATTCTGCAAACGTAAAACTGATCACACAGAGAGGTAAAATAGGTGCCCATTGCTTCCTAGAGATTGACATGTGGTTAAAATGCCAGTATTCGAACTGTAAACACTGCAAGACAATTGTTAATGCTGTCCTTTAATGTAGACAGTCCTTTATTTTAAAACCCTTAGAAGTAAGTGAGTGTGTAATTCACTGTAAAATAACACGTTTGAGAAACAAATGGGGATATTACTAGAAGTTTTGTTAATGAGATTGGCATGAATGGAACTCACAAAGCCACAACCTAAAGAACCCCAATGTCACCTTCATTCGATCACTCCCTCCATTCACATGGAATATCAGAGCTACTGGTCAGTAAAGTTTGTTTAACTGACTCATTTTCCTTACCTCAACACTTATAGTTTTTGTTGCTGTTGTTTTTGTCAGCTTCCGTTATCAACTCCAGCTTTTCAAGCTCAAACTTTTCTAAATTCCACTACATATGAAAGGTATCTATAAGAAAAAGAAATGTCCTTGCGATTTCAAAATATTTTCCTCAGAAATGCATTATAATGTGTAATACCAGATCCTTGAATGAATGTGCCCCCACCTCATTTTCTGAATTTAATGAGCACTGTATTCACCACTATAGATGTGGTCTCCCTGGCACAGAGACTCTCACACTGGGCACGGATATGAGTCCAAGTTCATGGTAGATGGAGCTTGATAGACAGCTAGGCTCTAGAGCAGAGGACTATCATCAGGAGTACACACTGAGAACGTTTTTTCCTGCCTCAGAGTAGATGAGCCTATTAGAAAACTGGACTCTCGAGTGTGGCAGTATTATTCGGAGGTGACTCTCCAGGTTACCCTCAGCATCTCCGTTCCTGTGTTCGGCTTTGTTGGACTCTCACGGCATCACTGAGAGGTGCTCTTGGATTTTAATCAGCTTTTATTATGTCTGAAAAGTATTTTTCATCATGAATACTCAATATTTGGCTTTTATCTGAATGCAGACTCATAAATATTGTCTTTACTGTTTTCTATATTCATATTAATGGTGTCATTTTTTGTATAAGTCCTTTAACTTTGTAAAATATCAGAAATGGAAAATAAAATATTAGACAATATATAAGTTTAGGGTTGTTTGTGTGTAGCTTTTACACACGCGTACTCACACATATGTTTGCAAAGAATTTATACATATACATATATCCACATTCCTTCTCCAACCCCCACCCTCACCCACATACACAGAGGATTTTTCCTACAAAACTTTCATGAAACTAGAACTAGTAATGATCTGAAAATCCATAGTTTTAAAGGAAAAGATGTACACTAATAATGACTACCGCATATGTTATCATCAAATCCAGTATTAGTACTACTACTCACAATTATCTACTGTCCTTCCCCTTGTGCTCGTATAAGGCATAGAATAAAAACAACTGAAGTCACACACTCATACCTACTGGTACAGGAGTTAGTATTACACGGCATCTGTTGGCAATTTATCACGATGGCGTTTATGCGTGGAAGGTGGTCACACAGTGATGGTTTTTGTTATTTGGTGTCTGCTGCCTGTTCCCTTCAGCACGTCGTGTTCTCACAGGCTCGTGTGCTTCTTCTCTGTGGACTTTGTTGATTCTGAGCTAGATGGTCGCTTGTTTGCCTACAAGCCTTTAAGACCCCAGATGCTATATCTTTTGATAGCCGGGCACCATCAGCTTTCTTCACCACATTTTCTTATGCACACATCTGTCTTCAGCGATCATGCTGAAGATGAATGTGTGCATAAGTAAGTGTGGTGAAGAAGGCTGATGGTGTCCGGCTATCGAGACCTATAGCGTCTGGGGTCTTAAAGGCTTGTAGGCAAACAAGCGGCCATCTAGCCCAGAAGCAACAAAGCCCACATGGAAGCAGCACACCAACAAGTGTGATCATGAAGGGCCAAAGGGACCAGGCTTTAAACACCAAAGGCGGGGAGAAAAGTCATATCCTTGTCAATGAGGGTGGTGCGCGATGGAGACCCAATGCCCATCTCTAGACAACTGGACATACCTTGCAGAGGGGTAGTAGGGAGATGAGTCACTTAGGGTACAGTATAGTAATAATGAAACTCACAACCTTCCTCTAGTTCTTAAACGCTTCCTCCTCCCAACTACCAGGACCCCAGTTTCGCCTTGCAGACCTGGTTAGACCAGATGATGCACAGCGGTGCGGATGGGAATTGGAAGCGCAGGGAATCTAGGACGGAAGAACCTCTCAGGACCGGGGGTGACAGTGGCGATACCAGGAGGGTAGTAAGGGGGAATGGATCACAGGGAGCCACATATGGCCTCCTCTCTGCGGGACGGGCAGCAGCGGGGTGGGTGAGGGGAGGCGCTGGACAGTGTAATATAAGATACAATAATAATTTATAAATTATTAAGGGTGCATGGGGGAAAGGGGAGGAGGAAGGGAAGGGGGGCGGGAAGGAAAATGAGCGGATTCCGGGAACCCAAGAGGCAAGAGAATGTTGGGAATGATGAGGGCAACAAATGTATAGTTGTGCTTTACACAATTGATCTATGTATTGTGATGAATTGTATGAGCCCCAATAAATTGATTAATAAAAAAAAAATCTTATTGGATTTCCTTTGTATGTGACTGTTCTTTTTTCTCTGGCTGCTCTTAGAATTCTCTCCTTGTCCTTAATATTGGAGTCTACCCATAATATGTTACATTGTTTTTCTTTTGGAGTCTATACTCTGGGGTATACCCAGATTCCTGGATATCTATTTTCTGCAGTTTGGACACATTTTCCCCAGGAATTCTTGTATGGTTTTCTCTGTGGGTACTTTTGTTTCTTCCTGTTGTGGATCTCCAGTGAGATGGAGGTTGTTCCTCTTGATAGAGTCTCACATAATTCTTAAACTTTTTCAGACTCTTTTTGTAGTTTCTCTTACTTGGTTTTCTTGTAGGTCGGAGTCAAAAGATTTGACTTTGAGCTCACTAATTCAGACTAATTCATTAATTCTACTGTGGTTCTCTACTTAGCTTTACTACTGGGATGCTAATCTTTATTTGAATACACGATTTTGATATTTCATGCAAATAGAGTGACAAGAAGCACATTGATAAATGTTGTAATACACTACATGTTTTTCAGAGCAAGAGTGGTGCTTAGACTGAAGTGTCACCCTTGAGGTGAGATGCAACTTGTGACAATAGAGTTAAAAAAAAGAAATTATTGCAAAATTTGGGTCAGGTTCCAACTTGTCTGCTTTGGAGCCTGAATATAATATAACTCAGTTGACACTGTCAATATTTTAGGGGGGAAATGTGATCAAATAAGCTCTTGTAGCACAAGGTGTGAAATCATTAACCACAAAACAAAGCACCCAAAGAACTGAAGAGTTTGAAGAGTTGCTCTTGTTTTGGGGAAATCAGAAGCCACTCTGTGGTGATAGTGTATCTGAGAAAATGATATGTAGAAGTCTAAAAGCTTCCATAATAATTTAAATCCTGGGAAAATAAATTTATTAGTGTAATTTCGGAGCCTCTGGACCAATTCTTTAGTTTTCCATTATTTCTGCATGGAAAAATATGTTCAGTTCTCAAACTTTTAAGTGTTTGAATATGATTTCAGAATGAATTGATTTCAACAACTGATTATATATATATATATCAGACAAATATAGGAAGTAAGTTAAATATAAAGTTTACATATAGAGGGAAATCTATTTTCTATTTACATAAAATAGTAACTCTAAAGTATTACTGCAAAATCGTTGAAATATTTATAAAGAAGAAGTATCCAAATGTTCAGCTACTGTTCATATCTTCCATCCAGTTCATAGGCTCTCTAACGTATTTGGCCTACTGCCTCCTTCTCATGGGCTGGGGGAAGAAGTCCTCAGGGCCCTGCTGGCAATGAAAACTCTGTATCACAGCCCACAACCCAGGATCATTTGAAGGGATTCTCTTTTAAAGTCCTCTGAAATGGTTCCTGTGTCCCCAAGGGGACACTGTCACCCACTTTGGGAAACACTGTTTCTACTTCTATATCCCTCTGGAAGTGGTGTTTCCCTATTTCCAAGTCTTCTCTAAAAAAAATTCGTGGTCTATTTGCAGCACCTCAAATGAACATCTTCATGCAATTCACATCGTGTTTCTTATAAATGTTACTTGCATTCAGAAAACAAAAACAAGCCTGAAGAGACTAGATTAGGGGCACAAGGTGGCTGGGCAAGGTTTCACACTGAAAC